GCGGGACTCCAATGCCGCTGGAGGAGACCGGGTGACTTGGGGTGACAGGGCACTCCTCTTCAATGACAGGACGTTTTCTTCCATCTGGGAAAAATTAGAAGTGGCCACGCCTGGATGCAGGCACAGACCAAGGTCAGTTCTCAGAGGCACAAAGAATGGAACTTTAACCACTTCTCATTTTTCTTCTGAATTCTCCCTTCTTTCAATCCTTTTCTTTGAAACGTTCCCCCTTTGTCCTTCCTAGCTACTCTGAGTCCTCCAAAGATTGAAGAAGTTATTCTAGGCAGCTGAGGGTAACCCTCAAAGCTTCTGTGGAAAACTCCAGCTCTGGGTGGGATCAGGGGCTGGTGAGCCAAAGAGGAGGGCCCAGACAGGATTCTGTCTCTGACAGAAGCCACCCCATCTGACCCTCCCCAGTAGTGTGAGGTTTCCAGCCCTCTCAGCCTGGATAGGAGACACTCGGCAGGGCAGGTGTTGTTCCGCCACCCCACTTCTCTCCACCAGGCACTTTTTCAGAGGGAAAAGGCATGTAATCCCTACCAGCCACTTCCGACAGATGTTCTGGTTAATGATTCTTTCAACAAATCACCATCAGACTTGCTTCCACTTTATAGAAATTTTCTCACATCCTCACAGCACCTGTTCCTCTGCCTCATTTCAGAAAATGGCATCACATCGTCCATCCATCACCACCCTACAGACTCTGCCTCCCACATCCTCTCACCAAGTTCTGCCACTTTAGCTCCTCAATATTTCTTAAATCTCTCCAGCTCTTATGCAAGCCCTCCTCATCTCTGATCTGGATGAAAACAAGCTAATCTGTCTTGAAGTCAGAAAAAAAAAATCTACCTAAAGTGCAAATCTGATCATGTTCTTTCTTGACTTAAAGTCTTTCACAGGGTGTGAGATAAAGTCCAGAGACTCTGGCATGGCACAGAAGGCCCTTTCAAAAGCTGGCCTCTAGTCAGCCTTGCCCAGCCCCCAAACCTGGATGCCCTGTCAACAGTGGACCGTTTGCAGCTTCCCTCACACAGTGTCAGGATTTTGCTTGTGTTCCTTCTGCTGTGTGGAGGATGGAGGGAAAGGGAAATGCTCCCTGTGGCACGATCTGAACATCTCATTGCCTGGTGTGCACAGCAGAGGTGGCCTGGAGTTGGGATCTACACTGAGCCCTGGGGACACGGGTGAGGGCCAAGTTTGATGGGAGCTATTGGGAAGAAACCAAGCTGAAGGGTTAGTGACAAAGAGATTTGGGAAACGGCTACAACAGTGGGTCCGAGTGGAGCCAGAGGCTAGAGATATTCACCTTCCTCATGAATGCCTGCAAATGAATGGACTGAAAGTCTGTGTTCTCCCTCAAAATCGCAGGTGGAAATCCTAATCGCCAGTGTGATGATTAGGAGGCAGGGCCTTTGAGAGGTGACTGGGGCACAGGATGGAGTCTCCATGAATGGGAAGAGTGCCCTTATAAAAGAGACCTCCAATGAGAAGCTGAAAGTCTGCAACCCAGAAGAGGGCCTTCACCTCACCCTGACCATGCTGGCACCCTGATCTCAGACTCCAGCTTCTAAGACTGTGAGAGGCTGCTGTTTAAACACCCATCTATAGTGCTGTGTGACAACAGACTGAACAGTCTAAGGCCATGCTTTCCTGAAGCCCCTGCCCTTCAGCAAAGAGAATCCTGAGAACTAGGGACAGGAAAGCTGCTCTATGGACACCCAGTCATTCTCTTCCCCAGGCACTTACTCAGAAGGTTATGGACACACTGGCCTTGGTGCCAGGGAGAGAACTGTGGCCTTGACAACACCTCCTCCTCCCCATGGCCACTCTGACTTCTGGCCTTGCCGAGTGTCAACTGCCAACAACAGTGACCCACCCTGAGGCCCGGATTCTGCATCACACTTCTAAGTGACCAGGAAGCTCCCTGGGGAAAGCTGACTGCACCAGGCCCTTCCTCCAGAGCACATAGTGATTTACCCTCAGAAAACAGACATGGACTGTGAACCATCAGGCCTCCTGGCCCCACGACCCTTAGACTGACTTAATGCCTTCTGTACCACGCAGCACCACCTCCAAACAACCAAACAGCTTCTCTGCAAATGAAATGAAGCAAGGTCTACACACCACAGAATTCTCAATCCTCCCACGAATCCTATCAGCAGAAGCAGCAGGCCTTCCAGAACTCTGCCGTGCTGCCTGCTAGAACACAGCATCATGTAGGCCCATGGGATGGGATGCATCTCCCCAGGGCCATGGTCCAGAGACTGAGGGACCAGAGGTGGAGATGACACCTCCCATGTTTACACCCCATGAGCTACCCTTTGGGTTTCTGCTTCCTGCCCCATGATGCTGAGCCCTGGAGATCTGGAGACTTTAGTACCCAGGAGAGAACGCTTCTATGAGGGGCTGGAATAAGAGAATGTGCAGAGTGCTACCAGGCCATCTGGGGTTTGGGCTTCTAGGAGCAGCGTCCTCAGTAGCTGGGACGCAGAGGAACACAGTCTGTGGTGTGCCCTTCGTCAGGGGACTCGTTTGTGGCTGGGTGTAGGTGCTGGGTTTGCAGGCTTCCTTAGAATGTCCATGTGTGTATATGTGGTGTTCACACACACACACACGCACGCACACTGGACAAACCAAAGGTGCATTTAGCAAGTCCTTTCACGGTGGCTTCCTGACTCATCTCAGTCCCGCCCTATGAAAGTCACGCTCATGTGCACAGGGAACCCGAGCAGCTCAGTCTGCATTAAACAGCTCTGTCAGTTCCCCAGGCATCTGGGACTCTAAGGCACTTGGCGACAGGACCCCCGCTCTGCATCCTTGGGGCCCAGCTCGGTGTCGGCACAGCAGGAGCTCCATGAACACCTGCCCAGCGGCCAGTCAGATGGTCAAGGCAATGGGTGAGAAACAAGTTCTGGAGTCGAGCTGCCCAAAGCCAGCCTGGCTCCAGCCCTTATCAGATTTTCAACTCTCTCTTGGATCCTCTGATATTCTTCCAGTAAATTCTTGTGTCACACAAACTAAGCAGTCTTGCTTTTTGTTTTGTTTTGTTGTTTTTTGGCCATACTGCGCATGTGGGCTCTTGGTTCCCTGGTCAGGGATAGAACCCGTGTCCCCTGAAGTGGAAGCGGGGAGTCCTAAGGATTGGACCACCAGGGAGTCCCCAGGCAGTCTTGCTTTTAACCGGTACATTCTCAACACCTACACAGGGCTCTCCACCATCCTACAGGAAAACCTATTCTCCTGAAACAAGCTGCTGGCCCTTCAATCGGCCAGGGGAGGCCTCTTAGAGGTGGGCAGTTTGTTCCCTCAGTCCTCAGTGTTCTGTTTGTGGCCAGCCTGCTTGGTTCCTCAACACCTTCCTAACCATCCATTGTCAGTGCCCCAGATCCCCTGGACCATCAAAGCAAAGCTATGAACCCTTTCCCTAGAAAAAACAGCAACACACACACAGAACATTGGGTGACATTTGAAGGGTTGTGGGGACTTCAGGTTAAGAACTTGTGACATTGTGACATACAAGAAATACACATATTGGTCTTCCTCCACGGTTCCTGACTCATAGCTCCTGGGCAGTGAGAGCATCTTTTGTCATAATATTTGGTCTCTTGTCATCAGTTCTGAGTTCAGAGCCATAGGGGTGAAATGGGTGTCTTGTGATTTAGAACAAGCCCCTTTCCATCAAAACCGGGTTTATGTCAATGAGGTGACTTCTGGAAAGGACCTAAGGATGGGGGCCATTTGCCAGGGAAACCAATCATGAATGGAGGTGGGGGTGGGGGGGACTTTTAGTCCCTCTGGAGAGAGGAGAGGGTTGGAGGCTGAACCAACCACCAAAGGTGGATGATGTCATCAATCATGACTAGCTAATAAAGCTTCCATAAAACTCCAAAAGGATGGGGTTTGGAGAGGTTCCAGGTGGGTGAACACGGAGAGATATGGGGAGAGTTGCACATTTCAGAGAGGGTGTTGAAGCTCTGTCCTTCCCCCGCACCTTGCCCTGAACATCTCTTTCAACCAACTGTTCCTGACATACACCCTTTTATAAACTGGTAACCTGGTAAGTAAAATGCTTCTCTGAGCTCTGTAAGCAGCTCTGGTGCTGGTGCTGGTTTAGTCGCTAAGCCGTGTCTGACTCTTGTGACCGATGGACTGTAGCCCGCCAGGCTCCTCTGTCCATTGGATTCTCCAGCCAAGAATATGGGAGTGGGTTGCCATTTCCTTCTCCAGGGGATTTTACACACCCAGGAATTGAACCTGAGTCTCCCACACTGCAAGCAGATTCTTTACTGACTGAGCTATGAGGGAATCCCTATAAGCAGCTCTAGCAAATTAATTAAACCTTAGAAGGGGGTCACTGGAAGCCCTGATCTATTGCTGGTCAGTCAGAAACACAGGTGACAGTTGGGAGTCTGAAGCGGGGCGGTTCTCGTAGGACTGAGACCTAAACCTGTGGGAGCAGGCACTACTTCCAGGTAAATAGTGTCAGAATTAAGGTGCACTGCAGGACACCCCACGGGAGTCTGAGAACTGCTTGGTGCTGTAGGAAACACCTCTGCCACCTGCATGCATGTTGGAAATTGGGAGCAGAAACCTTTCAAAACTCTTACTGAGCATCACCTTGCTCCCTTTCTCTGTGGACTCCAACCATAGAGTCACTGACATCGCTGGCTGTCAGACACACCCTGGGTGCAGGGAGCTGGGGTGGTGGAGGGTTGTGGACACCAGGCAAGGCTAGTCCTGAGGCTGGGATGAAGCATTTTGAGAGATGTTTTCCCTCTCCAAACTACATCTCCATTTTTAAGGAACCTGGTGATTTCTAACACCTGGTCTGGACCTGGTCTGGCAGCCCTGCGGTGCCACAGGGGAGAGGCTGAAGGCCACAGAGGAACCTGCTCATCAGCGGCAGTGCCAGATCCCTTGACAGGCAATTACCCATTGAGTTAAGAAGAGCGCATTGGACAGCGGCACTCATGGTGCTGTGGGGAGGACCACCTGATTACCTTTGTCAGCTGCTGCTCCGAGGAAAACCCCAAACCAAACACCGTGTTGGCTCTGCTGTCCGCCCACTGCCCGAACTTCTGTGACGTTTTGGTGAAAGTCATGTTGGGCGTGATTGTGCTGTTGATGATCACCTGCAGCGAAATAGCCCAAAGAGTCGACGCTGAAACATCGAATTAGACACCCAAGGGAGTCCTTAAAAACACCCTCTTTTGGCAAAGCTCATATGTAAAGCCTACCTCCCCCAATGTTACATGTGGTCCTGAGTTCTTCCTCTTCTGGCTCATCCCACACTGAGTCATACACACACCGCCATGATAAGGGGCAATTTTAGAGACTTAAAAACAGGCAGTGGCCTAAAATAAGATTTCACAAGTTATCAGTGGGAGAGAGTAGTTTCCAGAGCTGCTATTTATTATCCCAAAGTTGTTGTGCATCCGATTGTCCTTAATGGCTAGCTGAGTCACATATCCTCTGAAGAACCCAGCTGCTCACCTTTCTAAGTAAGTGCCTGGAGCCCCAGGGCCTACCTCAAACCATTTAAAATATTCACAAGCAGTTGTGGCTCGCTGCTTTCCCACAGGAAAGTAAAGGTACACTCCGATTGGGATAATTGGTGGAGAGTTGATTGACCGATTAATTAGGCAGGTGTGAGCTGGGTGCATGGAGATTGTAAGGACAGTGCAGGGACCTGGGGCTAGCTGTTGCCGCTGCCCCTTGGCTTTAAAGAATGAGGAGGTGTGGGAATTTCCTGGTGGTCCGGTGGTGAAGACCATGCTTCCACTGTAGGGGGCATGGGTTCCATCCCTGATCAGGGAACCAATATCCCACATACTTAGCAGTGCACTCCCAAAATTAAAAATAAATTAATTAAAAAAATAAAGGATAAGGGAGTGAAGAGGCTGTGGGATGTGGAAGGAGATAGTCACGGAGCACAGGCTGTTATCAAGAGAGGTGACCTTCTGCTGAGGGCCCCACCAGCACATGGTGAGCACCCCAGGAGAGGAAGCCCACAGGACAAATGCCCTCAACTCTGCCATTCTGATTTCCCGCCACCCACCAGAGCCAACCAGAAGCCAGTGGCCCCGCAAGACCTCCAATGTCATCAACAGGGCAGCCCCCTGGGGACCAGAGCAGAGTGAAGAAGAGCAGAGGATGAATGCGGAGGTGAAAAGATGATCCAGCACACGGTGCTCTCACTCATGCAACAAGCACTCACTGAATATTCACCGTGTGCCTGGGATTCTGCTGGCCAAAGGTACAAAAAGGAAGGAGTCAAGAGTCCTGGCCTTGGGACTTCCCTGGTGGTCTAGTGGCTAAGGCTCTGCACTTTCACTGCAGGCAATCAGGGTTCAATCCCTGGTCAGGGGAACAAGATTCCACGTGCCTTGCAGTGTGGCCAAAAAAGAAAAAAAAAAAAAAAAAAGATTAAAGCACAACCTTTAATGTGGATTCCCGACCCCTATGCCTACTCCTTTCTTTTTCTGTGTTTTCTCTCTGAAACTTTCATGGAGGAAAAAGAGACTCCTTGGTAAAGACTCAATTCCTGCAGAGCCCTGAAATCAACTTTTCAGAAAATGCACAGAACACATGCCATTAAGAGGTACTTGGAAGTAGCAAAAAGCTAAGTGCCTCCAGTCTCCTGTCTGGCTCCAGATTTCAGAGGAGGCTACTTGTTGCAAAATGTGAGGCAGGTCCCCTGGATTCCTTTTCAAGGCAAGTTTTCCTCAATCCAAGGAGAGAGAAGCTGGAAGGACTTAGAAATTTTCCACAAGAGGCTGGGAGTGACTTATAACAATTAAAAGACCTGGTGCCTGCTTCCAGAAAAGGTATTAATAGACTATTTTAAAAAACATTAAAAAAGAATATTTTGGCCATGGTGCATGGCATGTGGGATCTTAGTTCCCTGACCAGGGATCAAACCCGTACACCCTACATTAGAAGCATAGATTCTTAACCACTGGACCACCAGGGAAATCCTGTCAATAGATGCTTTTATTCTTTTTTATTTTAAACCACAGTCAGGGAAAAAAAGAAACCAACATTCACTGAAATCCTACTATGTGTTGAGAACCTTTCCGATGCTTGTTCCCTTAATAGAAAGTGGTCTACATTGATTCAAAAGAGGAAACTATAATGTGAGAGTTGGACCATAAAGAAGGCTGAGCACGCAAGAATTGATGTTTTTAAATTGTGGTGCTGGAGAGGACTCTTGAGAGTCCCTTGGACTGCAAGGAGATCAAACAAGTCAATCCTATAGGAAATCAACTCTGAATATTCATTGGAAGGACTGATGCTGAAGCGGAGGCTCCAATACTTTGGTCACCTGATGCGAAGAGCCAACTCATTGGAAAAAACCCTGATGCTGGGAAAGATTGAGGGCAAGAGGAAAAGGGGGTGACAGAGGATGAAATGGTTGGATGGCACCATTGACTCAATGGACATGAGCTTGAGCAAACTCTGGGAGACAGTGAAAGACAGGGGAGCCTGGCATGCTGTGGTCCAGGGGGTTGCAAAGAGTCGGACATGACTTAGTGACTGAACAACAACAACAATCATAATAATGAGTGGTGAAGGGGACCCTGACTGTGTTCTTGAAAGCAATTTTCATTCCTAGAAGAAAACACCAAACAAGTCAGGGTTTCAGGGCTTGTATCTTCTGAACCTTGGCCATCAGGCAGAACGCAGCAGGTGCTGCTAAATATTTCTAGACTGAATGACCTCTATTGTCTCTTCCGATACAGGCTTCTATGATCCTATAAATAACTGAGAACCAAGGGCAGGAGAGCCATCCAGAGCCCCTGGGAGAAACACCTGCTCCAGGCAGATCCTGTCTACGGGTGCAGGCAATTTCTCATAAGGATGGCAATGATTAACGCTGTCTGCAAAGAGTGCCAACAGCACAATGAAATCAAGCGTTGCGATGGCTCAATTAACAAATGCTCTGGGAACGGAGTTCCTCTATAATGGAGTTGGCGGTTTTGCGCAGAAACTTGCCATCACTCACACAGCTGTTGGTTGTGGCTGTGGGTGATATGATGGCTTGTATCAGGGCTCTGGGAGGTGGGAGGTAGCCTCACATGGCTCCCATCTGTCCATGCACAGGGCCGACCTGGGGTGACGTGCTGAGGTTTCCGCCCTGGCTCCGTCTTGGTGGTGACCCTCCTCTTGTCCTCCTGTGGACGTGGCACACCTCCTGCAGGCCTGACCCTATCCCCCACCCACGTCCATGGCGTCGCCCACTCTAGCTTGGTGCTGGGACCCCACAGGTAAACTAGGCCTGCTCCTCCAAGAGCACAGTCTTCTGGCAGCCCTCCCTCCCCAGAAATGGATCCACAGAGGCCCCAGGCAATGCTGGAGCTATGTATTCCCACCCACATATGCCTTGAGGGGCAGCTGTGACTGAGGTGTGAAACACTCTCCCCAGAAGAAGCAAGCACCATAGTGTTTCATGAAGGAGGAGATACAGGCCTGACCACAGGTTTCTCTTATGATGAGCAGCACCCACGGCTCTCAGGGGAAGGAGGGGGTCTCCTGGCAGCCTTCCCCAAGGAGAGCACATCGAGTGTTGGGACAGGGCAGAGGGGCCGCTGTACCCGCTGTGAACAACAGCCGTGAGAGCTGCTGCTGCACCTCCTCCCTTCATGGGGAGCCCTGCTCTGCGGGCTGCCCATGGTAGGCTCCGCGGCTGTGGCCTTTGCTCACCACAACCTCCGAGTCCTGTCCACACCGGCAGCCTGTCCCTGAAGCGTATGTACTCCTTCATCTGGGAGGGGCAGAGCAGGCTTCCCCTCCAGCCCACAGCAGCGGAGGGACAGCTGGCCCAGCAGCATCAAGCACAAGACCTGATATGGCCAGGCCAGGAGAGAGAGGCAGGACAGGAAGCCCAAGGTCAGAGCTGCAGCCCGTGGGCCAAGACACAGCCCCTGAGGCTCCAAGCACCTGACCATCTGTCATTGCAGTTCAGATAACACTTGGAAGCAAAGGCCTAAAACAAAGTGGAGTTGTCCCGACGTGGTGGGACACAGAGATGGGGAGCCGGAAGCAGGGGTGGGATGCAGAGGGGCAGTGGATGAGAGTGGCACGACCCTGGCTCAGGTCAGCATACTGTGCCTGGCTCCAGTCCCTGGGAAGAAAGGAAATCCATCTGGATCACTGGGGCAGGGTGGAGGCTGGGGCTGTGGAGCTAAGGAATTCAGCCACGGGTGGGGAGGAGGAAGGTGCAGAAGACTGGGTGGTGGCCATCGCCATGCTGGGGTTCTTCTCCATGTCTCACCTGATGTGTGGAGCAGCTGGAGGTACAAGAGCTGACCTAGAACTGGCCTAGCAGCTCCAGGAAAAGTCTGGCCGGGCTGAGGAGGCCTGGGAATCCCTGTCTGGTATCCTGTGCTCCAGTTCTCAGGACACTCGTCCCCTACCCTCAGCCCCAAGTGCCATTCACAGTCCCTGAACAACTAAGGCCGGCCCCTCCCACTACCCGGGTCTTCTGCTCCATCACAGGACACTCCCTTTTACAGAACAAGGCCCAGTCACAGTGCATGTGCCCTGCTGCTTAGGCAGAAGCTCTAGGTGGGCCCCTGGAACTCCAGATGGTCAGGCATCATAGGCGGGGTGGCTGGAGATCCTTGGGCTCCAGTGCTGGATTCCAGGGGCACCCCACAGCCTGAGTTCCCCATTCTCATTTTCTTTTTGGCTGCACTGTGTCTTAGCTGTGGCACTCGGGATCTTTGATCTTCATTGGGGCACGTGAAGAGGGGAACTTCGTTAGTTCCATGACCAGGGATCATACTCAGGAGTGTTGAGTGCAGCATCTTAGCCACTGGACCATGAGGGAAGTGCCCCCTTTCCCACTTTTTAAGTGACTCCTAACTTGATGGAGGCCCCACACTGAGCCTGAACTAGCTCTGATCTGTAGTGGGGGCCCTTCACCCATCCAATTGCTCAGAGCTGGCTCCTCTGGCTCCGACCCCACCACTGTCACAGCTTCAGGAGCTGCAGAGCTGTGCGCTGCAGTGGCTGACACGCTGACACATTACTCAGAGCCCAGCTAATAGGACTAAAACACTTTCTCTAGGAAAGTCATTTGATCTGTATTTAAGCCCACTCTATCCTTGGATAACTCAGCTGACAAAAGTGCAAACCCATCTCAAGGGAGGGAGGATGAACTGACAGGATCTACAGATAAAAGAAAGCAAGACAGCTTGACTCACCACCCTGAGCAGAACATCCTGGCAAGAGTCTATGGGATTCCAGTCCAAAAGCACAGAGAAGGAAAGTGGTAACACAACGGCATTATCACCATGTTTCCCAGAGGAAAAAAAAACAATAAAAGCAGATCCTCAATCATCAGACACAAGGTGCCTACCTACTATGCGCCAGGCACTTGCACACTCCCTGAGTGCTCACCGGATCCCTGCCACACCTGATCACCCAGCTTGCAGGGGGAAGTGTGCCCTAACTCAGAGAGCTGGGAGCCGGTGTGAGGACCTGGGCACAGGCAGCAGCCCATCAAGCCTCAACAGCAGCGTGAACTCAGCCAGTCACGGCCTGTCTTTAACTTCAGCCGTAAAATAGGAGTAAGGGCTGTGGCAGCCTGAAGGAAGAGAGGATCGCGAGGCCAAGCTCCTCTATCTGCAACCTCAGCAATGCTGAGAGTACAAAGGAGGCCTTTAGAGAACTTAAGCTGAAGGCAGAATTTGCCTGAAGACGGGAGCCTCATCAAAAGATCTGGGGCACCACGAGCTCTCGCGCCGTTCCCGGGGGACCCTCAATGGAGGCTTCCTGTGCCTCCTGCTCCGTGGTCGTGGGGGTCATGGAGGGAGGAGCCCACAGCCAGGCCCCATTATGCCAACCAGCCCACACCCAAAACTGCCCTGCTTCCAACTGCCTAGGAGCACTGACCAGACACACTGTAGGCAGGAGGAGGCCAGTGAGAAGGCTACTGCAACAGTCTGAGCAAGACTGTACCAGGACAAGAGTTATGGCCTTGAAATCTAGAACTACGCATAAACGTGAGACCGACTTTCATTTGATCAACTAAAAGGGAACTGACTCTGCGCTTTTCCATTTGCTTTCTTTTTAAAATTATTTTCTGGCAACAAATGACTGGGAAATGAAAATGGAGAGGTGGTTTAGAGGACAAATAAGGGTATTCAGCTTTAGATACACTGAATTTCTGGTGACAGCAGATAATCCATGTGAAAATGTCCATCAGGATGAACACAGATTAAAGACACAGAAGAAATTATGAAGCATCGAGTCTAGCTTTTTTCTTTTGTAAACTTGATGATATGTCTATTGATAACCCTTCTTTATTCTGCTCCCATAATAATATGGCAAAATACTGAGGAAGGGATTTCCCTGGGGGCCCATTGGCTAAGACTCTGAGCTCCCAACATAGGAGGCTTGGGCTCAATCACTGGTCAGGGAACTAGAACCTAAATGCTGCAACTAAGACCTGGTGCAGTGAAATAAATAAATAAATAAATATCATTTAAAATATTGAGGAAGAGAGCAGAATAATGAAAATACCAGGAAAAAGATATTTCAAGAAATACTCCAAAACCACTTAATAAAATTCAACTCCCATGGCTAATAACACCAAAACCAAACAGGATCTAATACCTAAGGCTGGCGAGGATGCAATAAACTGGCATTCTCATACATGCTGGAGGACAGAACTCTTTGGAAAGCCACTTGGCAATAATCATATCAAGAGCCATAAAGTGTTAGTATCTTGACCTATAACATTACTTCTAGGAATCTGTTCTAAGGAATTATCCAAAAGAAAGCAATAGGCATGGGACTTCCGTGGTGGTCCAGTGGCTAAGACTCAATGCTTCCAATACACGGGGCCCGGGTTTGATCCCTGGTCAGGGAACTAGATCCCACGGCTGCAATGAATTGTTCACATGCAGAAACTAAGACCCGGAGCAGCCAAATTATTTATTTGTTTAAAAAAGCAATAAGCACGATGAACAAACAGGGTTATCTGTTTCATGAAGATGCTCATTATCTATAATAGTGAAAAAACTGAAAGCTACTTCAGTATCTACCCATAATGGGAGAGATTAAGGACATTATAGGTCCTTGGTAGAATGATCAAAATGGTATTAAAATGCTACTTACGAAGACAATGTGCTAACAAGGAAATCTATTCTTTTAAATGTCATACAGAATGAAGTCAGTCAGAAAGAGAAAAACAAATATCGTATATTAATGCATATATGTGGAATCTAGAAAAATGGTACAGATGAACTTATCTGCAGGGCAGAAATAGAGGCACAGGTAGAGAAATGTATGGACACCAAGAGGGGAGAGGCGGGGTGGCATGAATTGGGAGACTGGGATTGACACACATATATTACTATGTATAAAATACAGAACCTGCTGTACAGCTCAGGGGGAAAAAAGAAGGTACAATCTGTCTGCAAGATATATCACTGGAGAAGGGAAAGGCTACCCACTCCAGTATTCTTGCCTGGAGAATTTCATGGGCAGAGGAGCCTGGCAGCTACAGCCCACTGGGGTCACAAAGAGTTGGATATGTTTGTAGGACATACAGTAAGTGAACCTTAAAAATGTATCATATTGCTTTTGATGAAAAATAAGTGACTAGGAAGGTTCAAATGAGCTGGTGAAATGGTACCTTGGCTCCATCCACACTGATGATCCGATAGCTGTTTCTTGTGACATCGTAGAAGTAGGAGACGGTGACAGCTTGCTTGCTTGCAGGCACCCAGTTCTTCTTGGTGCTGGGGTCGATCTGGAAGACATGTGCTCGGGTAGTGAAGATGGGCTGTTCTCTACAAGAGGAAAGACAGGCCCGTGACTGGATGGAACATGGCTTCATGTATAATTTATGATTTCTAAGCCACCTAAGATTTTAATCATTTATGGGGAAAGATGCATATGCATGAGAACAATGAAAACAAGAAAAGGGAAGAGAGGAGGAGAAAAACAGACACCTGAGGAGTGGTTACTGAAACCCAACACCCTGAGGCTGAGGGGCAATTGGCTTAATGGGCAATCTGCTTAAAAGGCAACTCCTGGTGCAGTGTTTTCACATACTGGTCAAGGGTCCTGCTCTTTTTCTGATATCCTCTTAGCAGTTTTTAGGGCTTTGCAACAAATATATTGGCAGGTAGGGATTCTGCAAGTTTTAAGATTTTACAAACCATTTGTGACTTCATACTATATTTCTATGGGCTTCCCAGGTAGCTCAGTGGTAAAGAATCCATCTGCCAAGCAAGAGACGTGGGTTCAATCCCTGGGTTGGGAAGATCCCCTGGAGGGGCAGATGGCAGCCCACTCCAGTATTGTTGCCTGGAAAGTCCCATGGACAGAGGAGCCTGGTGGGCTACAGTCTATGTAATTGTGTCCCCTACAGTTATGGGGACACGACTTAGCAACTAAGCAACAACAACTGTATTTCTACTAAATACTTCTCATATCTGCAGCATTTTATGAACAATGCATTCATTCATAATTGACTGAGCCTTAAAGTTTTATGTTTTCAACTTACAAATCTTTGGGTTTTATGCAGTATTCATCAAATCTCTTTTGCTATTCTTGTCTCTGCATTGTTGCTTTTTCACTCACATGCCTGTAAACTCTTAATGTGATTATTAACCAAATTAGCACAGTGTCTATGTTTCTATTAAGTGAGGAATTAATTAGATCTTGACAATAGCATTAATAAGACAGATGAATAAAAATTATAATGGATTTCACTGCACTTCATATTTTAAGGTGTCTGCTTCACAAAGTAGCACAAAATAAATCACAGACTCATTACAAAATATAATTTCTTAAAATATAATTATTTTTGAAGAAAGGTAATTCAGGTTAACTGGCTGGAAAATCCTTTCCAAATAAGACAAGATGGGGGTAAGGGGAAGCCACCACACCAGGATATAAAAATAATCCTCTCATTCATAAAATGCTATCGATTTAGTAAGCACTTATGAGAGACAAAAAATTAAATCAAAATTAGAAAAATTAATTTTTTTAATCTTCACAATTCAAAGAGATGACATAAAAGAATGGGACACCCAAGTGGAAACTGAAGATAAAATCAAAAGGAAAAAGTGAATTGTAAGTGCTCTGGTCACTGAAAGGAGTGGTTTTAGGTAAAGTCTTCTCTGAACCAATCCTGACTAAACAAGGCTCATTATTGGAAAGGAAACCCTTTCTTAAGAGAGAAACTGTATCCTAGAAAAGCAATTTACTAGACATTTGCACCCCACGCAAGATACTGAGTAACACCACGAATACCAGCATTAGCCGAATACCAGCATTAGCCGAATACCAGCATTAGCCATCAATTGTTACTGTAGATAATGCAGAAGCTTCCTCATGACTATTTCTCTGAATGAATAAAAGCCAAGGGCACGCTCTTCCTGCTACTTCAATGCAGCTGTTTCTAGAGTTCAGCTTTCCAGAAGGGACCGCGCTCAGTACTCCTAGCCCCCCGAAACCTTCCCCTGTAGGTCACAGGAACAGGTTAAGAGCCTCTGGGGTGTGGATCATAAGGACACTTGTTTTCCTGCCACAGTGACCAGGTTCACCCACCCACTCAGTCCCAAACTGACACGCTTCTGTCCACAGGATGACAGCTGTGGAAACAAAGGAATATTCTCACTGTAGTGTTCTGCATCTGTTGTTGAGAGGGGGACCAGCCGTTGGGGAGCATGTGTGTGCCCGTGAATACCAGCCCGCCTAATCAATCCACACGGGAAAGCCTTGCATCTGTACACTCGGTGCCATGTTTTGCTAACCATCCAAGTACAACACCAGAGAGGAAAACACTTGCTTACCTGGAGTTCTTCTGTATGTTTAAGAAGAGGGAGCGACTGAAAGGGCAGGAATACAGAAAATCTTTTTAAAAGGATCGAATTACGAAAGGTATACAAATACCAAATCGTTGTTGTCTACTGAAACTAACAATGTTACATGCCAATTATACCTCAATTTAAAAAAGAGAATTAAGCTAACATCTCTGCTTCCTCTACATACAGCACTAACAAGCTGGGCAGGGACCCACCGTCAGGCAGGAGCCCTCCCAGGGGAGGGGGTCAGGCTTTCCCTTGTGTCCTCCACACTAGGGAAGATGGATTGGGTCTGGGTTTAGCACCCTTAGATTAGTGTTTCCTAAATCTCTGATAGGAATTAGCTGTGGCACTCAGTAAAAATACAAGTTCCTGGGCCCCAACTTAGCCCCATAGGAACCTGGCTGTGCAGGGAAGGGGCCTTCATAGTTCTATCTTTTAAATTAATTAATTTTTGGTTGTGGGTCTTTGTTGCTGCACATGGGCTTTCTCAAGTTGCAGAGAGCAGGGGCTACTCTCCAGTTTCCATGCATGGGCTTCTCGTTGTGGTGGTTTCTCTTGTTGTGGAGCACGGGCTCTATCTAGAGTCAGGGATCAGTGGTTGTAGCGGAGCACAGGCTTAGGTGCCCCATGGCATGTGGCATCTTCCTAGATCAGGGATTGAACCCAGGTTCCCTGCATTGGAAGGCAGATTCTTAACCACTGGATAACCAGGGAAGTCCCAGCTCTATTTTTTAACAAAAGCTCCAGGTGATTTTTATCCTTAGGAAGCTCGCAGTAGGCATTATCAGATGATCTAGAAACAATGGTAGAAGTGGCCATTACAGCCAGCACCTCTCCTCCAGAATGACAAAAACAACTCTGAAACCCTCCCACAGCTTGAAGAGGACAACAGAGGGGCCAAGAACAGGATCTCTGGTTGCAAAGGATGGGGGAGGGGCATGGAGAGGCAGAGGTGCTCTAGTCAGGACAGAGGGCAGCCTCTGGTGGTCGAGCTGTGACCTTCTGAGAGTGACTGAACAACAACAACCAACCAGAGATGCAGGGGTGTTGGGAGGGCACGGTGGGTGGGCTCAGCTGGCCACACCCTCAGTGGCTGCAGCCCTGGTCTCCACGGTCAGGTTTCTGCCGGGGAAGCTCTGTTCCGGTGCAGAGGGAGCACGGTGGCCCAGGAAGGGAGCTGCAGGGAGACCCACTGGCCCTATCTATTCTGAGGGTGGGCCCCACAGGGGTTGCCACGGCTCTTCAAAGACCTGCGATCTCAGGCCTGGGGACCTGGGCTAGACAGGGCCAGTGTGGCACAGCTTTGAGCCCAGGAAACTACCCACAGTACTGGGATTTCTACATGAATAACCAAGTCCTTGGCTGCTGGGGGAGTTCTGTTTTATTTTTCTAAAATTAAAAAAAACTAATGGTATTTAGGGACTTCCCTGGTGGTCCAGTGGCTAAGACTCTGTGCTGCCAATGCAGGGGACCCAGGTTCTATCCCTGGTCAGGGAGCTAGATCCCACATGCCTCAACTAAGACCTGGCACAGACAAATAAATAAATATATAAAAGTTATATATTTTTTTAAGTATAAGAAAAAATCTAATGGTATTTAAAGAAAAAGAAGAAAAAGACAGGATGGAAAGAAAAGTCAGTTAATATTTAGCTGGTATACATATACAACATATATGTTCTCATTCAACCCTTTGGACAGAGCTGTGGTTGGGTAACATTCTCTACATAGAAAAGTGAAGGTAGGGACTTCCCTGGAGGTCCAGTGGCTAAGACTCTGTGTTCCTACTGCAGGCAACCTGGGTTTTATCCCTGGTCACTGAACTAGATCCCACAGGCCACAACTAAGACCAAATAAAGTCAAATAAATACTTAAAAGAAAAAAAAATGAAATTGAGAGTTGCAGGATGATTTCAGGCAACATGGACAGCAAACCTTTACACCTTCATGGGCAAAATCAGAGTACAAACCTCACCACAAAATCCAGAAAAGCAGACCCCAACTCTGAAAGAGCACCGTGCCCTTCCGGAGAAAGTAAGAGCTGGAACTAGGACACAGAAGTCAGTTCCTGTAAGTGTGCAAATCAGTATAAATAGAAAAAGTCAAAGGAAACACAACTGTCCATGCCAGGAGGCCACCTTTCCTTCCCAGCAGGGAAACGCCGAAGAGTGTCTATCAGAGAACAGAAACTACCTTCGTACCCAATTTTATTCTCCTTTCTTTGGTGTTTGATGCTTAGGGGGTATATGTGAAATATACTCCCATTCCTTCTTCAGTGCTTTAAATAGAAAGCAGATGTTTCCGGATGGCAAACCGTTCCTTTAGGCAGACAATATAACCTACTGTTCCCTTGCACAGTCTTTTTAGAGCTGAATAAACACCAATTGCTGCTCATTGAACACATTTGGGAACCTGACAGTAATTGTCCCCAAGAATAATTAGACACTGCGAAACATATGTATGTTTGGAATATGAAAACCGCTCGGCAGAAAGGCCACTCCTGCAATGAACGATTTCTGGCTCCATGAAAAATGATTCTGCAAAGAACTGGCATGACTACTTTGTGCAGGAAAAAAAAAGTAAAATGATATTTTATTATAATCTTTCACTTGCAATGCTCACTAGGCTTTTCCTGATATGAACTTGTAAAACCTCATGATTCTTATTATTCTGACTTCTGTCTGATGTGAATGAAAACAAACCATTCAGTCATTATCTTACAGCCCTTTAAACATGGTCCAAAGTCTCCTAGGATGCCCTCATTCGTTTATCTTCCTTGGGTCTTAGATCCTTGTGCACATCACTCACATAGCTCCAAGAGAAGTGTTCAGCCCAAACCTCGATGGGTGTGGCACTGTCCACCCAGCTTCGAGGACCCTCCCTGGCTCTGTGCCCCACAGGACCAGCTCCAGATGCATCAGAGTGATCCACGGGTGCTGAGCACCTGGCCATGCACCCTCACCAGACAGGCTCTGT